GTTCCTCCTAGTGGTCTTAAGACTAACGGGGCAAGGGGCCGAAGGGAAACCGACTGGATTAAAATCCAGTCTATTAATGGGCCTTCAAGGTTTCACAGCCATGGAGTAGCGAGAAGTAACCAGCACAATGAGGTATCAGACAACAGTAGTCTGCAAGCATCTTTAGCCTGGGGTGCTGGGGTCATAGCCAAGAGGAACAGATGGCAGGACCAGAGCAGAGCATATGGGAATGACTAAGACACTGCGTTAGGTCTCATATGAGGTAATGCTTTCTCAGTATTAGAGCCGCAGACCCAAAAGAAATCCCCACCAAGGTCAACCTGAAGCTTTTGTAGCTCTAGGAAGTCCTGAGGATGGGAAGTTTCACTGTGGCCCTCTAGTGTATGGTCCCAATATTTGCAAAAGTTATAATGTTGCTTTTAATTAGGTTTAGTTAAATGCTCAAAATGCGAATTCACAGGGAATCCTGCAAGTGCCTTTCAAATCTCACATTGCATTTCAGCTTTCATGGCTACGATGTGTTCCCCTCTCATCTTCCGTGGGGCTTTGAAGAGGCCAGTTTAGCCTTGGTGATTTTGACCTGGGGTAGTATATGAAGGAGGGCTAAGACTGGAGCCACCTGAATGCTTAGATAAGTGGGCAAAGGTGTTGAGGGGTAAGAGACGGGGAGAACTACTTCGAAACAGCCCTTAGAAGGCCTGGCAGGCCTGGGGAAGCCGCTGACGCTCCCACCCACGGTCATGGTGGGCAACTCGGGCCTTTGCAGCCACCTCATTTATTCTGATATAGTTACAAATGTTACGATGTTTCACGCGTGTTGCGGAAGAGAAGGCATTGGAAAGCACTGGTCCTACAGCTCAGCAGGCTGCTTGCTCTTTAGCAAATCAAGTGACTGACTATTAGTTACAACAGCTTTAACATCCTATTTACAGACATATCAACATCTGTGTATAACAGCATGGCAGGTCATAAAGCAGGGCAGTTGTGCAAACCAAGTGACTATTAGTTACAACAGCTTTAACGTCCTATTTACAGACATATCAGTATATAACAGCATGGCAGGTCATAAAGCAGGGCAGTTGATCCCATTATTTTCTCGAGGTAGGTGAAAGGTTGAAGAGAGGGTAATGTATATAGAACCTTCTTCCCCACTGAAGTGGTAGCTCCAAACAAGGAAGAACATGGGGGAGGGGGAAATGCATAAAGTAGAACATAGAGAAGTAGCATGGGCTGCATGTGTATTGCTAGTGTAGGTCGTTATCACTGGCATAGGTCTCATAAGGACAAGTCATTCCCCCATTGTCCGCCTCATTGCACCCACCACTCCAAATAAGGATTCTCCCTCACTCAAATGTTTTCTGTCACCTAGTCTGGGCCCTGTGGGGCGAGGTAAGCAGAGTCTCCTGTTAGAGGAGCCCCCAACGCTGGATGTTTGTTGATCTGGTTTGGTTTGGTTTTTGCGATTGTTGAGGGAAGGTCGGAGAAGATCCAAAGAACCAGTGATCTTTAAACTGAGACGTGAGGCCAGAAGACCTCGGCATAACGAATAGGTTAAGAGAAAAACAAGGCCCCGAGGCCCATTGAAGCGCTCTGGGGTACCGGACCCAAGCGCCCCCCATGGCTGGCAAAGCTAGGAAGCCGCCACTATGCAGGGCGCTGGGGAGGAGACGGGACAAGACCGCGCTGAGACCCGCCGCCTGGCTCCCCAATGCTCAGAAAGGCTTCCCGCGCGGGGGGAACCGAGTCTTCGGCCCGGACGCCAGGCAGAGGGCGGGCGCCGCCGGGTTCCTGGCGGCCCGGTTGGCGCGGGCGGGACAG